ACTGTAGTCTTAGAAAGAAAAATGTTGAACTCAGAAGAACAGTAGAAGAGTGGGCACCAAAGGCTGCATGGGTGTGCAGGCAAACGAGAGGCTGGTGTACAAACTTTCAGCTACAAGATGAATACATGAAGATCTAATGTAAAACAAAGTGACTATAGTTGATAACACTGTATTATATAATTGAAATTTTCTAAAAGGCTAGAACTTAAATGTCCACACATACACACTAACTGACCAATGTAAAACAGAAAAAAAAAAAAAACAAACCAAAACAAACAAACAAACAAAAACTTTGAAGGATGCTTAGTTAATCAGGAAGTGGAGAGGAAAGCTAGAGATCAAGCTTAGAGGACAAGCCTACCAAAACCACAGCCAGAGTTTCCTTATCATACGGTAAAGTTGTCTTCAGGGGCTCAGATGACATTGTGGCCCTTCAACAGTACGTAGCTTTTGTCCACCGCCATTAATAAACTTCCCTTCCTGTCCCAGATTTAAAGTCCCAGGCAAAGCATCCTGTCAACTGAGCCTAGGTCTGTCTCTGCTGTCTTGACAGATCTGTGATCTGTCCCTTTTCCCAGGACCATCTTCCCTCCTTTGAAGAGCAGTCTGCCCCCAATCAGGATCCCCACCATGGGAACATGTCCCTAAATAAGGAAGGTTTGGATCTTAGGCTGCCAAAGCAATGAAAATGTCCACTAAACTGACTGAAAGGGTTCTGAATCATTGCTTCAGAGAATAACCTTCTGTAGAATTTTTAAAATATAACTAAGATCGATTCTTGGCTGTCTGAAGTGGTTTAGATAACAGTTCCTCCGTGAACCAGAGATGGATTGAAATATAATATGTTCCCGCCCAGCTATCATCTCCTGAAATGCTAGAAATACCTTCGTGTCAATGTCTTATCATAAGAAGCCCGAGAGCTGGAATCTAGAATTACAATTCTTTTTTTTTCCCCCCAGGATCTTGCTACAAAGAATTTGGTAAGGAGATGCATTTCCTCCCCCAAGTCGGCTGTCTCTATTTGTAACTGATACTACATACAGCAGGGAAGCATCTGTGTTTCAGAAAAATGATGTGTGAAAACAGTTTTCAAAAATGCACGTTTTCTACATTAAAAAAAAAAACTAAAAATATGTTTGGTTACCACTTTGTAGAGCCTATTGAATTTGGCTGTGAATGGGAATCTAATTGCCATCCGTTTCCATTGGATCCTTCTATGAACATGACATTTCCATTAAAAAGAGAAGTCAGCTATAGCTTTATGGTTTATGCTGAAATCATAAAAAAAAATTAAGGACTAGTTGGTGTTTAATAATTTATATTTCTTCTTTATGGCCCATTAGAGGAAATAAGCAACACCACAGGTACAGAAAATACCATTCGTGTTGGCGAAGGTAGGAGTAACATTCGAACTGAAGTGTTACAAATAGCTTCCTGGGTTTGAATGATGACTACTGATTATTCTCCCATTTTTCATCTATAACCAGAGAAGACCTTCTTTGTCACTTGTTCTTGTTACTGAGGGACAGTCACCACAGCATTACCACTTGCAGGGCTGAATTTAAGGACTGAGGGACCCACAGTCTGGGTTAGAGAGACCAGATTTAAACCTCACTTGAGGGTGCCTGGGTGGCTCAGTGGGTTACAGCCTCCGCCTTCGGCTCAGGTCATGATCTCAGGGTCCTGGGATTGAGCCCCGCCTCGGGCTCTCTGCTCAGCGGGGAGCCTGCTTCCCCCTCTCTCTCTGCCTGCCTCTCTTTCTACTTGTGATCTCTGTCTGTCAAATAAATAAAAATGTTAAAAAAAATAAACCTCACTTGATGCAGAAGTATCTGTTCATTGCTCTATGCACAGCAGGAACAAAGAATATCATATTTTCCTTAACTTGCAAGCTGGATGTCCATGAGTGGCATCCCTTCTCCTTCTCTTTCTAGCTTTCCCTGTTCAGTAATTTGAAGACCAGTACCCATTTGTTGAGTTGGACAGTCTGTTTTTAATGATTTTGTTTTTTCCTTTGACGAGCCCTTGGCCAAGGGAAGGCACTATTCCAGCAATGCACATAATAAGATTTATGGTTAATAAGGTAAAAGCAGACAACGATGCCAGATTACTATTTCTCAAGCACTGCTCCAATTAACATATGCGCTGATGAATTTAATGTTCTAATTAAGTCCAGAGTTCTAACCCCTGGACTTCAAGAGTCTTCACTTAATGGCCTCTGCCGATCTTCTGATGTTTCATTCTACTATTTCCCTAAATGAACAGTATAGACCAGCTCAATGGTTTTCAATCCAGGCTGCACATCAAAATCACATGGGGAGATTTTTTTTAAAATGCTGATGCCCAGGGCTCTACTGCATGCTACTTGAATATGAATCTGGGGTGATGCACAGGCACCAATTTCGTTTTTCTAGGTTTTTGGAGTTTTTAAAAGCTTCTTATTCTGGTCATCTATTGTTGCAAAACAAAGCACTCAAGACTTATTTGTATAAAACAGAGAGCATTTCCGAATGCTCCCAAATTCTGTGGGTCACAAATTCAAAAGGAACACAGCACTGATGGTGTGTTTCTGCTCTATGATGTTGGGGTCTTGGCTCAAAAAACCACAATGGCTAGGCGTGTCTCAAATAGCTAGGTGCTGGAATCATCTAGAGGTTTCTTTATTCACTTTTTCATGGCTTAGACTGGGATGCCTCAAAGGCTAAGCTCAGCTGGTATTGTTACCCAGCCTGTCTACATGTGCTTCCCCATATAGCCTCCTCGAAGCACACGGTGGCTCAATGTAGTCAAATTGCCCCCAGGAAGCCCAGGAACAAATATTCCCCTGAAAAAGGCGGAATTGTGGGGCCTTTTACATACCTAGCCTCAGGTGGCACATAGCATCACTTCTGTTGCATTTTATTCATCAAACAGTCAGGATCCTTCAAGGGAGGGGACCCTCTTCTCTATAGGAAGGAAGAATGTCAATGAATTTGTGGCCACATTTTTTTAAAAGATTTTATTTTTTTATTTGACAGAGAGAGATCACAAGTAGGCAGAAAGGCAGGCAGGGAGAAAGGAAGGAGCAGGCCCCCCCGCTAAGAAGAGAGCCCGATGCAGGGCTCCATCCCAGGACCCTGAGATCAGGACCTGAGCCAAAGGGAGAGGCTTTCACCCACTGAGCCACCCAGGCGCCCCTTGTGGCCACATTTTAAAGTTGCCATACATCCTTGGTAAGTCCATTCAGAGCCAGAGTTGAGAACAACTGGATTGATGTCCTGCAAACACTGACCTGCAGAGAAGGACTGGGATGCACATGAAATGAATGAGGCAGCTAGGGTGCAAAATTGAAGAAGGCAGTCACTCTCAGAATCATGCAAATGCAGGGGAACATCTCATTACATGTGCTGCCCAGGCGCTTTCCTGGCCTCATCCTGGGCATGGTCCTGCTACAGAGCACCTGTATAGGAATTATGAGTGGGAGCAGGATTTAGATTCCTGAGTCTCCTACTTTCATATTCTGATTCAATAAGCCTGGAGTAGAGACTGGGATTCTGTATCTTTTAAAAGAATCCCAGTGGACTGATTACAGATTCCATGTGTTTTCCTGGTACCATGCCTTTGTTCAGGCTGTTCCCTCTACCTTGAATGTCTTCTTCTATTTCTGTAACCTATGGAGTATCTACCAATGTTTAAGATCCATTTCAAATACTACCCCTTTTATCAAGCAAAGGAACCAACAGTTAAAGTATAAAACCATACCTCCTAAGAAACCCATAGTCCTTTATATATGACTTAAGACACATTTTGTCCTATATTGTTTGTGGACGTATCTTCTAGAAAGAACATATTCCGTTTCTTAGGAGGCCACAAAATGGAGATCTGGATCCACCCCATCAATTCTCATAGGTAGGGTCCTGTTAAGACAAGATGCGATTGTCTTTGACTCATCTTGCTCCCAGATTGTTCAACTTCGTAACCCACACAGCAACTGGCCTACGCCTTGCCCATTTTAGATGTCCAATAAAGAGTGGATATTATCCTCTTCTGATGAAAGGAGAGATTCCCATTTTTGCAGGGTTTATAGAAGCCTCCAAATATTGAATAATTATCCTAGTTTAAATGCTTAAGCATAGATAGGGATTGCATTCTTTACTGTGACTTCTATTTTGCAAAATTTCTGCTTGAACTTTACCTGATAATCATTTCCATATACTAAAGGTTTGTTTGTTTCTTTTCCTCACTCTGTGCAGAGTCCATAGCACTCACTACCTTTGTAGGTGGTTAGTCCACATTTAAGCCTCGAAGACTTTTAGGTAAGCACCATCTTTGTGACCATTATACTGACGAAGAAAACTGGGGCTTAAAGATTTAACAACCTCCTAGATCAGAAGATAAAAGAGGAACTGAGGCAGGTTTGAAACCCAGGGCTCCAAGATTCCAAAACTTAATGATTTAATGCCTACGCCAATCCAGACCCCTACTAATTGTGGTGGCTATTAGACCCACCCACTTTGTGGAGGGTGGGGCAGACAGGTCCGCTTGGACGAAAAGCAAAGTTGGCAAAATCAGTTCGAATCTCTCTTAACTCGAATGGTTTCCCCCGTGAGGGTAGGCTCGGGGGCGCCTTGACTTCGCGCTTTGGCTCTCAGGACACACGCCCTCGCGTGGGTACGGGTCTGGGTCTGCCACCTCTCGGCTGGGGGCGTGAGGGTTGGGCGGGGTCTCCGGGGTCGTCTCCGGCGGCGGCCAATGGCAGTGCGGGGGTCAGACTCCGCTCCCCGCGAGGGGCGCAGCGGTTGCTAAGTGCTGGGAGGAGACGGATCCCGCGCCAGCAGCCGGGGGAAGGGGGAGGCGCGAGCGAGAGCGCGTGGGAGCGCGGAGGCCCGAGCCGGGAGGGGGAGCGAGCGGAGAGAGACGCCGGGGAGGCGCGCGGGAGCGAACGCCCGCCTGAGAGCCGGAGCCCCGCAGCACTGCGGCCGCGCCCTTGCCCGAGACTGTGCGGCCGCCCAGTCCCGCTCCGGCCGCCGCCGCCAGGACTCCGAAGGATGGAGGACTCCCGGGAGACGTCGCCGTCCTCCAACAACTCCTCGGAAGAGCTCAGCTCTGCCCTGCAGCTGTCCAAGGGCATGTCGATCTTCCTCGACGTAAGTCCAGGGCGCAGGAGTTGGGTCGTTGGTCCCCCTGCATCTTTCCTCTTCCCCGGGAGGAGGGCGGTGGGTCCAGGCGCTGCTCAGCAGCTGATCAGCTGTTTTGTCCCCAGAACGCCAGCGAGAACTACCACCTACCTTGCTCCCCCAACCCCCTGTAAACGCATCGAGCAAATGCGGGAGAAATGACTCTCATTCAACTTGTAGAAAGGGTTGCACCGCACCTGCAGCTCGGGGCTTAACAACCCTGAATGAACGGCAAAAGTTAAATTTTCCAACGACGTGAGTTTCATTGGGGACTCGATGTGTAACTACAACAGTCTCCATTCAGCTGAAGAGAGCATTTTAAAGGGGACTAATGGCAGGAGGGAACATTAACTCAACTCCTTTCTGATGTGCCTTGTTTGCAGCCCCTGTCTCCCTGAAGCTCAAAGGCGATGGGGGGAACAGAGATTGTGATGCCACGCCACCCTCCCCAACCCCCACAGAGAACAATTACTTTGCAAACACACTTGTTTTCCTGTTTTACACCTCCTTCATGATGATACTTTTTTCATTGCCACCTCCTGTTTCCCCCCTTTTTCTCTCCTGTTACTCTCCTTCCCTATACCTCTCCAAGTTTCAATTACCATTCATCAATTCTGCCTTTTGACTGTTCTTCCTTTGGGCCTCTCCCCCACCCCTCCTTTCGGGATTGAGTCCCTTCCTTATTTTCTGAGATGGTGATGGTTCCTTCTCATTCTTGGTTTTCTTTTTTCCATTTTTCTGCCCTCACGCTGCGGTTTTTACTTTTACAGCAGTTTTGTTTCTTATTTATTTCTCAATTTTTGCTTTACTGTCCCTTTCTGCATTTTCTGGTCATTTATTTATTTATTTCACCTTGTTGCCCAGCTCTTTTCTCTGCTGTTAGGATTCACTGTTTTCCTGTCCCTCAGCTCCTGCTCCCTCTGCCCCTCAATTGTCACATTTATGCTGTCCCCTGGAGGTAGTTGCTGGCTCAGTGGGGACAATTCTGGCCCCTTCTCATTTAAGCGCGAGAGAAAATTGGCAAAAGGTATTGAGGAGTGCTTGTGTGTTCTTTCCTCTACCCTTCCCTGGGATCATTTCTTATGAAAATCCAGCTATATATAAAATTAAAGTACATTTATTTGTGGAGAGATGAAAATGTGAGGGAATCAGTTTAGCAGCATCATAATGGTGAAGCAGATGTCATGAAGATAAGGGGGATGGGGTGAGGAGCCCTCCCAAGTTTATTTTGAATGGATTAGCTAGGATTTTTTAATTGGGAGAGAAAACCGTATTAATAGTTATATCTGGTCTAAGGCAAATGTTGTAGGTAAGGCTCAGCTGTGTCTTCTGGCAGCTTCCTCCCCTCATTACCATGCAGTTCTAGTTGGAGATCCAGGCTTTCCTGGCAGGCCATCTTCCCACTGAAACAATCTGATTCCCATTCCGGGCCAAAAAGCCCTTGAGGAAACCTTGCTGGGAGAAGGGGGCACACAGCACCCCTGAGAAAGGACTCTTCAGGGTCCCAGAAACTCATGTCTGTTATGAGGTCAATGGCTAAGCTCCCGGAAAGTTGATTCAGAGAAGGCAAGAGAGCCCTCCATTCATTCTGGCCTGATCTTCACTCGTCCCCCAAGGATATCAAGTGCTCCTCTGTGACTTTCTTAAAGCAGTGAACAAATCCTGGTGATACTGTAGAGATGGAAGGATTGAACTGTATAAATGAAGGTCATCCTCTTTGACATACACACTAATCTTGGCCCAACTGTTCAAGCTGCTATTCAAAAAGAAAAAAAAGAAAAACGAGGAAATTAAAATCTTATTTATTATTGTATTTACATGATTGATCTCAAGCTCTGTAAATAAATAGCATCAGGTCCCCGTCCTGAAGGAACACGTACTCTATGAATAGGATACCCTTACCCTCTTCTATTTCTAGATTTTAAAAATAAAAATATAAAACTGATTTCACATGAGAGGTGTTGACATGCTTGTTTGCCAGTAAAATGTTAGTGTCTATAAAAGAAAAAAACCTGCCACTGGATTTTATGTCGAATAGGAAAGATTTTGTTTACACTTTTCTTTGAGATATTTTGTGAAAAATCTACCACTCTGGTGAAATATATGACATGAAAAAGGATTTACTTGGGGATTTTTGAATTATTCATTTCTGGATCATATTGCTTTTAGCAAAAATAAAATGTGAACTATAAATACATAATTTATTTGATTTGTTTTAATATATTCTAGTAGCAGTGCTAAAAAAGATTGCTTTGTGAATTCCATTCAGATTATAATAAGAAAATAGATATCCCCTATTCCAAAAAGGAAAAGGAATGAAACCCATTAGGGCTTTCTGCATCACACAGACTAATTTCCAAATTTGAGGAAAACTTTGATTTCCAGTGCTTGTATTCCAATGCTGCTGTAATAATCAGTCCTCTGAGAAATGATCTGAACTGCTTTTGAGGATACTGTTGATGACATGACTAGGCATGTCCAGCTGGTAAGAAAGAAACCATAGATAAGAAATCAGGGAGAGACTTACCATAACTATTGGCTTTTGCTTCATTTTCCTTATGTCCAAATGAGCAACAGTGATGACTATGGTACTTAATTCTAGAGGTTGTTGTATTAAGTGAGAGTTCATAGGATAAGAAAACTGAGAAGAAAAGGGAAATGTGCTATATAAATTGGAACTATTATTGCTACATCAGTGTTCCCTTTTGAATGCCTAAGTAGCAGTAGCCAAATCCACAAATTAATACAGACACTGTTCCATTATGAATCTGGTGTATATTATTTTCTGTCTTAAAAAATGACAGAATGATATCTCCGTTCATCATCAATACTCTTGAATGCCTCCTGGGGGGCTTAGAACACTCAGTGTCAGTAGCAAAGCGAGGGCATGCACTCCAGCCCACTTGCCGCCGGCAGGAGAGGGACTGCACTGGGTTTCCTTTGCAGCAACGTGGAAAGTCCAGGACCAAGACGGTTTTTTTCCGTCTTAATACCTGCACCTTCTCCTTTCCCAGGTTAGTTCATCTCAGATAACAAAGAATAAACTTTAGAATCCTAGTCTGTATAGCATGTGGCCCCTCTCCTGAATCTTTACATTCATCAGCTCTGCTCCTGTGCAACGGGAGAAAAACCAAGCACAAAAAATGAGAAGTTGGTTACAACGTCACCACTTGATGCCACTGTCTTCTCTCGAACAGTTTTGGTTTTTAGCTGGAAGGGCAGTGGCCCTTCCTCATTTGACTAGAGGCAGAAGTGGCGCCTGGGAGGTTCTGAAGGCAAGAGATGATTTTACTGTTTGTCTTCTCTTCCTTCCCCCAACCAAGTATGCACGCCCATGAACCCTGAACAAAAGGCACAGTGCCCGGATGGTCAGGGACTTGGTGAAAACAAGAGACAACTTTGCTTGGCAAAGATAGTGAATTCTGAAGGTCTGTACATATGCATGTATACTCATCTGTAGAAGATATGAGATGGACGGGCACTGTCAGGGCAGAAACCGTTTTCCAGGGGTGCCTGGGTGGCTCAGTTGGTTCAGCAATTACCTTTAGCTCAGGTCATGATCCTGGAGTCCTGGGATCGAGTCCTGCGTTGGGTCCCTGCTCAGTGGGGAGTCTGTATCTCCCTCTGACCCTACGCCTTCTCATGCTCTCTCTCTCTCTCTCTCAAATAAATAAATAAAATCTTAAAAAAGAAAAAAAAGGAACAAAAGAAACCATTTTCCAGGTATAATGGTTCTGTGACCGAAGTCTGTTAGAGCCGCATACCTCCTATCTTGCCTAGCATGCACTAGATAATTTGAGTGAGATTGTTCCGTTGGGAGAATGGCAGGTAACCCTCTCATCGTCTACCCTAATTGGCCAGGCAGATACCACTCCTAATTTTAAGAATCTGCAGAAATAAGAGAAACTTGTTTTTAATGTTATAATACATGTAGAACTGCTCACGCAAGGCCTATTCTAGGCAAGATTAAGAAGATAAAAATGTATGCGCATACCTTTTCTCCATTCCTCATTTAGTGCCCACTCCCCTGCATCCTTTTCATGGCAACTAGCAGAGTGGTAGCAAAACTGCTTCCTGGAGGTCAAGGTCTGCTCTCTATGGTTTACCTAGCAGGTCTTCCCTTCTGGAAGCCACTCCGCGTTCTGGATGAGTGCCAACTACCCTGCCCTCTATCCCCATTTCTCAGGAGGCTGACTGGCACATCTCATTACTTAATTTTAACCTGGTACAGAGTAGGGAGCACTTAGCAAATATTAGTTCAGTAAATAGTGACTGTCAGTTTTTTAGGCCTCCGAGATAACATTTGCCTTTTAACACCTGCCTTCAATAACTTCAGATGAGAAATGAGGAATTTCAATGAAGGCCATCAAAGAATAGCTTTTGGGGTAAAGGATGCTATTTGATAAATCTTAAATTGTTGCAAAAACACAGCAAAACCTGTGCATTTGAGTTTTAATGGTGACCATAATATTTATATCTATTTACGATCTATCCTGTGGTGCTAATTGGTAAGATGACTATGAAGGCGTAATGTGATGAGCTCAGTTTTCATCTGCAGTACATTTTTTATTAGTCTGTGGGCTCAGAGGCAAAGTTTGCAGCAGGGACAGTCCTGTTCATATTTAACTACAAAGAACTGTCTTAATAAAGAAAGCTACTGTCTTAATTTCATTGCTAGGAGGCTGAATACTATTTAAGGCAGTTGGAAGTCAGGGGTCCGAGTCTCTGGTGTATGGTTATTCCTCTTCTTGTTACTCATAAGGACCCAAAAGACCTTGAAATAGAATCTTAGGGCATATTAAAGGTAAGAATTAGGCTGTGTTTTATGTCTCCCTCTCAGCTGGGGCTTCATAGTTTCAAAGGAGAGGGGGAAGCTGGGAATGGTAGATGAATTCCCAAAACCCCCACTGGAAATTACCTCTGTGGACTAAAAAGAATTTGTGTCTCATTCTGCTCTAAGCATAGAAGCTCTTATGACTGAAAGTTTTCTTACAATAACTAAATAAATTTAAGTTGATAAAGGGGCACCAACTTATGCACACAAGTCAGGATGATACATATCTTTTGTTGGAAATTTCTCATTGGTGAGATTTTTATTAATCATATTCATATCTTATAATAAACACATTATAATAATGATTAGATTTAAGCATACTTCATCTTTGTAAAGTCAACAGAAGGAAAAAGAATAATGTTTGTATAGTAGAAAGCCATAAAACTTTGGGAGTAAAAACTATTGCTCATGTTTCAAGCTGCCCACCAAGAAGTGATGACCTAAATTTAAGAGTAGCTCTGGTTACTTAACATAACCGTACATTGCTCAGAAAAATGATCCTCAAATATCCCTTTCATGTGATTCAAGGTTATCTTTCCAATATGATAAAGGGACATTTTCTTTGGTACTATATATAACATAGCTGTGTGTTGTATTTTCCAGATTTTTTTTTCCTGTCCATCTATACTGTCAGCTAGGGCTAATTTGATTGTTGTTAACAGAAAGAAAAATAACCCAAACTATCTTGAGATTTAAAACAATAATTTATTGACTCCTGCAATAAAAAGTGGAGATCATCTTGTCAGGATGGCTTGATCAGAAGCTCAGAGAGTGTCACTGGGATCCACTTCCTTCAGTCTCCTGATGGACACTGGTTTCTTGATGGCTGGTTCCATTCAGGTTATATGTTGTATTGGTTTCCTATGGCTGCCGTAAGTGTCCTGCGCAGGGGGTGCCTTCCATAACCAGATGTGTTCTGTCAGTTCTGGGGGCTACATGGGTGCCATCAAGGTGTAGGTAGGGCTTCACTCCCTTGAAAGGCTGCTGGGGAGAATCTGCTTGATGCCTATCTCCTAGCTTCTCACAGTGGCCAGTCCTTCACGTTCCTTGGCTTGTAGCAGCATCACACTGATATCTGCCTCCATTATCATATGGTCTCCTCTGTCTTTTCTTCTCTGAATCTCACTTCCTTATAAAGTCACCAGTCTTTGGATGTAGGGCCCACCCCAATCTGGTAAGATCATATCTTAATTTAATTACATCAGCAAAGACTATTTTTCAACAAGGTCACCTTCACGGTTACTAGGGGTTAGGACTTCCACGTTTGTTTTGAGGCAACGCGGTTCAACCCATAATGGATATAATAATAGAAGGGAGGACAGCAGCTTCTTACCTGTATCTTCTCGGGTGCAGAGTCAGCCCCAAGAAAATGTGTCTGTCTTGATAATTAAAGGAAAGCCATGACCTTCCTGTGCTTCTGCCTGAGGAGTCACTGTGGCCAGAGCGATATGACACCTTGTTTGCCAGGTCCGAGTGCTCTGTCCAGTCCTTGAGCTCGTGGGCCAAGAGGAGAGAAAAGACTCGTTGCCCAGAAAAACATTTTGAACTCATTATCCAAGATAGCTGATGGCCAAGTAGGTCTTAGCCACCAAAGATATTACAATTAATGCAGAGAAGTAAAGTAAGATTTAATGTAGGTGCATTAGCTCTATCCATAATTTCTTATTTTTTGTTCCTATTTATTCCCAGTTTATTGAGCTATGACTGACTTACATTAAATTGCACATATTTAAAGTGAAAATTTGATGAGTTTTTACATATGTATATGCCTATGAGACCATTACCATAATCGAGATAATAAATATATTTACCACTCCAAAAAGTTTTCTTGTGTCTTTTTATAATGCCCTCCCTGCTCATTTGTATGCAACCCTTTAATCTTTCTGTCACTGTAGATTTGTTTGCATTTTCTAGAATTTCATATAAATGGAATCTATAGCAGGTACTTTTTTTGTATCTAGATTTTTACTTAACATCATTACTTAGCAGTCTATCCAAGTTATTGTGTGTATCAAGAGCCCATTCCTCTTTATTGCTCAGTAGTATTCACTGTATGGATGTGCCACAGGTTTTTTGTCCATTCACTTGTTCAAAGACATTTAGGTTGTTTTCAGTTTCTCACTATTATAAAGAAACATCTCAATTTGGAAACCTTTATTTAAAATTGGAATTTCCATGGGACGCCTGGGTGGTTCAGTCTTTTGAGCATTTTCCTTTGGCTCAGGTCATGACCCCAGGGTCCTGGGATCGAGTCCCACAGAGGCTTTGCTCAGGGGAGAGCCTACTTCTCCCTGTGCCTGCTGCTTCCTCAGCCTGTGTATACTCTGTCTCTCTGTCTCTAGCTCTCCCTCTCTCTCCCTCTGACAAATAAATAAATAAATAAATAAATAAATAAATAAATATTGGAATTTCTTTTATTTACTTATGGGCAAATTATGTGTGAGTATAATGTTCACTGCAAATGCAAAAAGTGGTAATAAAAGTTTTCTCTTTTCTCTTTCAGATACTGAGGAGAGCAGATAAAAATGGTAAGACCAAAAATCTGCAGTTTCTACTTATTGATCTCTTACCTTTTACATCACCTTCTAAAGAATACTGTGGAAGAGAGAGGACAGCCCAAGAAATTGATACATAAAATGTCAGCCTGTGGTACTAATAAGGGTTTTAGGCATGTTTATGGCTCCAGATATTCATGAGAAGTTGAAAGAGGTACTTAGGTTTGACAGGAAGATAGAATTTATGCCTTTGAAGTGAGCAGCTGTCATAGCTCCAGCTTTTCCTTTTTATGCTTTAATATTAAAGTAATAACAGCTTCTATTCATTGAGTGTCTACTGCGTGCCAGGCACTGGGCCAAGTGCTTTGGGTTATTTCTTAGGGTTAATAAGATAGAGATCTGAGGCTGTGTGGCACCAAAGTCTAGGCTGTCCACGCTGAACTTCACGGTGGCCTTGGGGGCTGCTGTTGCACTTGAAGGTGGCTACCTGGAAGCCTGTGTTGCCATACTTACCTTCACTTCATGGTTCTCAGCCATTGCTCTCGCATTTGAAGTGTATGTCGCAGGACCGATAATCTATAGAGACAGAGAAGTAAGAGAAACTAGAAGAAAAAAATTATTCTGTCAGAGGCATTACAATTTCAATGATGCCTGCACAAAGTCCAATTATAAGCTGTCATAAGCAATATCTTTTGACTCTTACCCAGTACAAATTGTGTTCCATAGATATTGAATCAGAGAGTATATTTTGCTGCTATAGTACAAGTACATCATAGAGCTATAGTCTTGACAGGACTTTCTTGACAAATTTAGGAGACAAAGAGTTCTTTCCTTTTCTTGAAATCAGATTGCTTATCTGTGGGGAAGGATTACAGGCAGAGTCCAGATCTGACACTTTTAAAAACATTTTTTGTGGTCTAGTGAGCCCTTAAGCAGCCAGATCAAGAAAATCTTGATTGCCACTATATAGCTTTTCCCACAACAGAAAATATATTACTCCAAGGAGCAAAAAACACTGGCCCAAATGCTGGTAATATTTAACTGTGCCTGTCTTTCAGAATGTTTTCTCAAACCGTGTTACAGGGGTTAATATATTATCAATTCAAGAGATTTTTCTTTTTTTTCACCAAAATCACTTGACCAATTTTTAAGACAGATGTAATAATGCTATCATTTTTTCTCCTTGTCCTACTTGTTGACCTTGTGCCTGACATCCAAACCCAGTGATGCCCAAAACATGACTGAATAGTCCATTTGGCTCCATGCTACCTGCCTCGGATTTCAGCAGCCATTTCTAGTTCAGGGATGCCTTTTCTCTCTCTCTACCGAAGCTCCTAGTTTTCTCAGGCTATGCCTTCCTTTCCTGGAACCCCAAAGTGTGATTGAGGGTCATTATTACCTTTGTATATTATCTTACTCTTCTCTCCATCAAAACTTGCTTATTTTGGTGACCTACTATCATAATCCATAGTCCTAATAAAAAGCACCTGAAAAACCAAATTCATGATTTACTGCAGTTTATGATAACCTCATATGTTAAAAAGAATGGTCCCTTGGACTAGGAGCCCTGTGTGGGCCTATTCCATCCCAAGTTTTTTTTAACCTGCCTCCTTCCTGCATATGATACCTCTTGTCTCCTCATTCTGTGTCCTAATGCCTGTTCTTAATGTGCCGTCAAAGCCATCTGCCTTTCTGCCCTTATCTTCACGGTGCATCCTCTTCTGCATCTCTCTGGAGCACTAGGGATTCTCAGAGCGTCACTCCATCTGTCACAGCTCTGTGGTGTCCTTGCTTGGACTGCCACCTGCTCTACCTTCCCACTGTTAGCCAGCTTGAGAACTCCTGTGTACTGCTTGTGTCCCGCTCAAAATGTACCATGTCTGAATAGCCTTCCCCAGCTCCCCTTATAGGGCCCCGCCCTCTGTCTGGGCTCTCTGCACTGTGGCTGGTACTGATTATTTCCTTTTGTGAGGACCACAGTTGTTTACTGGCGATTCTACTTCCTGAAGCCAAGGGCAAGGAACTTGTCGTACTTGGCAAGGAACTTGTTGCAGGGATGGATACTATGTCCAGTCAGTATAGGGCTCAATGGATGTTCCCTTAATGAATTAACAATGGTTAGTGACATTTTCCTCCATGACCCCTCCATGACCCATCTCCTTTCCATCTATCTAGTCTTTCCCCTGCCTTTCATGCTGCTTTACTCTTCTCCTTCATTCTCAGTGTAAAGTGAGGGGAGGGTAGAGAAAGGCATGTCTGGGTTTAAATTCCAGCTATGCACCTAGTAGCTCTGTGACTTTGGATAAATAACAAACTCTTCTCCCTCAGCTCTCTCATCTACAGAATAGAAATCATAGCATCTATGTATGTCATGGGGTTATTATGAATAATCAATGACATAACAGATGTAAAGTCCCCAGGGAAGTGCATGGTACCCAGTAGCAACTTACACCTGCTTGTTGTGGGGTTGTGATGCCTTGGCTATTGGAAACACTTGGTGACATTCCAGTCATTTCTGTTTCAGTGTTTAGTGGGAAAAAGACTATTTACCATACATGCAGAATTGAAAAAAGGAAAAAGTATAGTGGATAATCTAATGTAAATGAGAAGATACTAGCATAAAAAAAAAAAAAATCTTTCTGAACCATGTGTTCATTCCATTCTGTATTTGCAAATAAACAGCTGTTAAATTTACGTGTCTCTGGATAACAGACCCTCGCGTGACAGAATCCCTTATGGACGGCATAATTGGTGATGGAGTAACAGCGGGAATAAGGGGTCATAAGCAGTATGATACTTAGCTTACCAGAGTGTAGATTTAGCTTCTGGGATCTATCTGACATGAGAGGAGCGGCGGGAGACGTGGGTGGGGAAAAAAAATACATGATAGCAATCAGCTACAATAATGGGTCTTAGATTCATTTGGTTTTGGTTGTTTTTCTAAAATCATAGGCTAGGATCCTAGACATAAAGACAGACCTCAGGGGCGCCTGGGTAGCTCAGTGGGTTAAAGCCGCTGCCTTCGGCTCAGGTCATGATCCCAGGGTCCTGGGATCGAGTCCCGCATCGGGCTCTCTGCTCTGCAGGGAGCCTGCTTCCCTTCCTCTCTCTCTGCCTGCCTCTCTGCCTACTTGTGATCTCTGTCTGTCAAATAAATAAATAAAATTAAAAAAAAAAAAAAAGACAGACCTCAGAACAGGATAGATTAGAAGAGTGCTTTGATCTAAAGAACCCAGAAGTAAGCCTAAAAATGCAAAACTCCTGAGAAAGCTTATATACATGCAGGTAGAATGAAAATGGAAATGATACATGGGTATTTGTAAAATTTGCAAAAAAAAAATTAATTTTACAAAAAGGCAAAATGAAAAGGCTCATAGTAATTAATAACACCATTGACTGTTTTTGCCAATGTGGCCTTGCTAAGATCTGCTGTCATTCTTTTTTTTTTTTTTTCTTAAGATTTTATTTATTTATTAGAGAGAGAGAAGGCATGAGAGAGAGCAGAGGCAGAAGGAGAGGGAGAAGCAGACTCCTCGCTGAGCGGGATCCTGATGAAATGAGGGGCTGGATCCCAGGATCCTGAGATCATGACCTGAGCTGAAGGCAGTCTCTTAACCAACTAAGCCACTCAGGCGCCCCACTCTGCTGTCATTCTTGACCAGCAAATAGGTAGGCTGTATGGGTGGCTCTTTTAATCCCAATCAATGACTGATCTCTGTAAGAACTGATCCTAGTTCTTCTCAGTGGCTTTTTAATCTATTCCAGCAGCCTGTACATTATAAATCTATGAGGACAGAGAATGTGCTTATTTCACACAACACCAGGCTCACCATGGTGATCAACATGCCTGTCAGGAAAGACAATTATCATGTTTTTACTCATATGAGGAATATAAGAAACAGGGCAGGGACCTTAGGGGAAGGGAGGGAAAACTGAATGGGAAGTCATCAGAGAGGGAGAAAAACTATGAGAGACTCAACTTTAGAAAACAAACTAAGGGTTGCTGGAGGGGTGATGGGTGGGGGATAGGGTAACAGGCTGATGGATGTTAGGGAGGGCACGTGATGTGATGAGCCCTGAGTGTTATAGGTAACTGATGAATTATTGGACACTACATCTGAAACTAATGATATACTATAAATTGGCTAATGGAATTTAAATTTAAAAAATGCCTGTCACAACATTGGTGTTCAATAAATACTTGGAAATCCACTTGTATGAGGTGCATGACCAACAGTCTGATACTGAGAACTGAAGAAGAAACACAGTATAACAGGTCAGTTAATCAAACTAAGCCTTGTTGTAATTTATTTGTTGTTTATTAATTAATAGTATTAGCTAAAAACCTAAAGTTTCAATTGAAAACAGTGTTTGAACTAATGAATAAATTCAGTAAAGTTTCAGTGTACAAAAGCAATATACAAAAATCTGCTGCATTTTTATATACTGACAATGAGCTATCAGAAAAAGAAATTGGGAAAACAATCTTATTTACAGTTGCATCAAAAAAGAATGAAATACTAGAAATAAATTTCACCAACATGATGAAAAACTTGTACAGACATTAATGAAAGACATTAATGAGAGATATTGAAAAAGATACAAATGGAAAGAGAGTCTGTTGCTAGTGGATTAGAAGACTTAATACTGTTAAAATGTTTATATTACCCCAAGCAATCTAGAGATTCAATGTATTCCCTTTCAGCAGAATTTTGGTGGCATTTTTCAGAAATAGAAAAAATAATCTTAAAATTGGAACAAACTACATCTGGCATTAAAATACTAATACAGGGGCTCCTGGGTGGCTCAGTTGGTTAAACGTCTGACTCTTGATGTGGGCTCAGATCATGACTTCAGGGATGTGAGATTGAGCCCTGTGTTGGGCTCTGCACTCAGCACAGAGTCCTCTTGGGTTTTTCTCTTTCCTCTCCCTCTGCCTCTCCCCCAACTCTCTCTCTCTCTCAAATAAATATATAAAATCTTTAAAAAATAAAGTAAAACTAAAAACACGAATGTAAGAACGGTTGATGTTG